TCAACGTTGTGCGACTACTAATCACTTCGTTGTCAAATGTATTAAAACGTATGACAAATGGCTATTACCGTATAATCGATAATGATAAATAACATTACTCTCAAGTAAACATGTACTTGTTTAAGAGATTTCCTACAAAACAATTTTTGACACTCTTTTTGGATTCGGTCTTGAAAATGGATTACTGGTCTTCATCTCATAGAGTTCATGATGAATTTGAGAAGCTTGTTCTTAGAATGAACCCACCAAAGTAGGTTTCCTCTATATGCTTAATTCTGTGTATTTTTTTCAATATTCCCAATCTAGAATGTGACTTTTGTTATTGAAATGATGAAATTTGAGAATTTTGAATCAAGGGTTTGAGGGTAGAATCTAATCCTTCATATGGTATTTCTGCAGGGTTACTGTTGATAATGCATCAGATAAGAAATCAACTTTAATAAAGGTATGGCAGTTCATTTTCTTGTGGGTTAATTGGAGGAGATTTTGAATTTAACTGGTTCAAGAAAGTTTAAATTATACAGGTTGATAAAGCAGCTCCTCCTCTATGTCCTGAAAGGCAATGGAGATAGGCGAAGAGCCAATGCTGCACCTTGCCAGTATCTGTTGGTTCTACTCGTACAGAGGACGGTACATCAAATTATGTATGCCAACCGCGATCATGCTAATGATCATGTAGAACAACATTTGAAAACTGTCCTCAGAAAACCTCTCGTCACTATAGAAAATTGTTCTGCTAAGGGCTACTGGTGAACTTTGAGTTGTGTGGAGCCATCATCATTGCTGAAGGAACAGAGGCTCATCAGGTGTTGTTTAAGGGAAAAGTATCGGTTGTTGACATCACTTTGAGAAATGGCGTCGCAAGTAAAATAGCATTTTCAGCCAGCAAAAACTGTGCCCAATATAACTCGCATATTTAGGGAGAACGATCTTTCAGTCGACCGAGCTGAGGTCACAATCAGCCCCTTCGGCTTCTTTCTTTGGTCCTCCAATGGGTCACAGTCGAGTGACCCACATAAGATCCTGTAATCCTCCTTGAGTTACAGTCATATACTCGCATAATCTCACTACTTGTTTGGAAGTGCTTATAAGAAACTTCTTTTGACAGGATAGCATCAAGAGTCATGCTGCCAAAAGAAAGGCTCCTTACAAGGAGAATTTTGGGATCAAATTAGAGCATGTTTGTGTGGACTTGTAAGCTGGCATATTTTACTTGTGAGGAGGAGAGAAAAAGTCCGTAGAGACAATAATTAGCAAAAACGTATGAATACCCATTGCCATCTTATTATGTGCATGCTAAAGAGCATCGCCATAAAAGTACAAACACTAGTTGTAGCTCGCTTTAAGACATCTCTCGAAATACAGAAACTACAAGAAACTTGCCGAACAAAGCCTCACGACATAGACAGCCTCTATATCAGGAGCAAGCCCATAATAATTTGAAGGGCAAATGAAAATCCCTACACCGAGAATATTAGAAACCTGCTATTCCCACCTTAAACCACTGGAAGTTCACCACAATCACTTATGACAACCCTCTTTCTAGGACGATCACCTCTGTCTGTCTCCTGTGACTCAACCAGCTTAACAACATCCATGCCCTCCAGAACTTGTCCGAACACCACATGCCTCTGGTCCAGCCATGGTGTCTGTAATTCATCCCACAGAAATACTCGTAAAATAGTAAAATACACATCAATGCACATTTTTGTCACATAACAGTCTCGTTAGCGCCATATAACTGCTTCTTTGAGTGCCCAAAACATTGTGGATTGTTCAGTATACTTTCCTATTCAGTTTCAATAACTTGAGAAGTCAGAAAGAGGGAAAATTTATTTCTCCTTTTAATTTTTCAATTGGCAATGTGACTTTTTATCTTTAGAAATCCAGAGAAAGCTGGTTATATTTTTCCTTGCAAGAATAAGAAATGAAGAAGACATATTTATAGGTAGTTTCCCCACCTTAACTCGACCACCTATTTTGGTACTTGCCTCAGAAATCACCAAAATGTTATTATCTTTGATTTAGTGCTATAAATTGATTTTATTTGAAAATGCTAAATACCTTAACAGTGCAAATGAAAAATTGGCTTCCATTGGTATCAGGGCCTGCATTTGCCATGCTAAGAACTCCAGGTCCAGTATGAGCCACTGCAAATATCAAATGCATTTCACTTGATACTATGAAGAACTTAGAGTAAAAGAATAACTAAAAGGAGAGGGGGGGAAAAAA